CTCTCTCTCTCTCTCTCTCTCTCTCTCTCTCTCTCTCTCTCTCTCTCTCTATCGTTATTATGTTCATAGCCATTATATGGATAAGTTATCGTTTGTGTGTATTTATGTATATATATATATATATATACTCACAATCTGAGGATGATTTATAAACGAAAGGAAGTTTAAAAAAAAAATTGTTGAAAGATTTTTATTCTATCCAAGGCAAATACATTGTAAGATTGCATTTTCTGGGAACTTGGCGGCGGATCGTGGTGGATGATATGATACCAGTAAATAAAGAAAAATTGCCACTTTTACCCCGCACTGATAATAATTTCGAATTATGGCCTATGCTTCTTTCGAAGGCTTTATTAAAACTGTGCTCCCTCACTTGGACTGACAACTATGAAATCATAGATTTTCATCCTGTCGCATGTTTAACCGGTAAAGAAAGAAATGTATCATATACGATTCTGAAGTTAATCTATAAGAATGTATAATCTATTCCATTTGTTTGTTTGTTTTTTTCTTCAAAGGATGGATTTGCTTGAAGTTCAAGATGCATTATCAATCGCCGCAAGACAAGTGGGATTTCTTGAAAAAATACGTGGATCATTTCGAGTGGGTGAAAGAAATTGACGAGCAAGAGAGTCAGGGTTAGTCGCTAGTTTATCGTTCCTATCCCGATCTGTTTATAATGTTTATAATCTTCGCAAACAGAGACGAGATCCAGGAAGATTAAAGAAGTGAAAAAATCTAAGGAAACGATGAGAACGAAGAAGTCTAGGGATACGGATCGTACAGATCGAAAGAGCGAGGATACGAAAAAATCGAGGATCGATGATCCGAAGATGAAATCGTTGGTCAAACCACAACCAGTTTCCCTGTTTCTCGATCTATACGATATAAAAAACGAAAATGTTCCGGACTTGTCACCGTGTTGGAGCCATTTCATTTACGTGGATCAGCTGCGTGATATCCCCCTAGATCCTAAAGATGTACGTTGAACAATCAGAATCTAATGTTAAAGAAAATATAAACGTAAGAATAATTGAAAACACAGGTGAAGCCTCCCCTAGCAAAATGGAAGTTTTATCGATGGTTGAAATGGGCAATCAGCGAGGAAATAATCAATCCAATCGAATATTTCGTGCCGATCCGATCGCTTAAAGTGGTCAGCCCTTTGAAGAAATGCGAGGAGAGCGTAATCAATAAATATAACAAGTCGATGAATAATCAGAACTTTGATAACAACCAAGTGTCGAGAACGGTGGAAGAAAATAAAGTTAACGAAAAATTAAATAATCCTCAGAAAGATGAAACGTTAAAAGAAGATATCTGTTTCTGGGCAGACTTCAACAAAATAGAGCCCTACATAAAAGAAGTTGATTTCTTCTATAAATCGGATTATTTTCAATACAGCATGAAATTGTCGGATCGTTTTGTAACGAAATCGAACGACGAGAAATCGGAGACGAGGAAGGATAGTAAGAAGGATAGCAAGAAGGAGAGTAAAAAGAGTTCTCCGTCCAGACAAAAAGATCCTGAATTCATGGATACGTATCTGTGGCCCCAAAAAAATGTTAAAATCCAGGAACGATCCATTGTACATTTTCATCGACTCGGTGGAAGAAAAATTCTTCTTGATCAACTTCTCAACGTTTCAAGTCACCGCTGAAATCGTGAAAAACGAGAAGGAGGAAGCGGCAAATCCTAGAACTCTGCTGAGAGCGAACAAGGGCTATCTGGCCGTGGAAAAGAATCATTGGTTTCGAAAACAGGAGAAGCCCGACTACTTGATTTTCATTCTAACTGCTGGGACAAAAACGACTATACTCGAAATAAATCCCGGAAGGCATATCTTCCAAATCTATTGTCATTCGGACTCGAATTGTTACGTGAGTATCTCCTCGGATACGATTTTCCACGTGGGTGATAGAAGAAAGATGTATCAATTGATGTGTACGGAGTCCGAGATGGTGGATAAGATAGCGAAGCACATCAGCAACTCCATAAGTAATGCGTTTCAAGCGTTTGGCACCGACAGATATTCGAAGGCGTTGAAGACTTATTTCAATAGTTACTTACCAGTTTCTGCCGAACGAAAGAAAAGGAAAAAAATACTTTATCAAAAGACACACGAATATTTTATCAAAGAAATGGTAGATTTTATTAACAAGATTCTTCCCGAGAACGAGATACCGGGCGTATTGAGAGCAATGAGAATATTTTTTCTGGATCATAAGATCGGTTTGCAATGCTACGACGAAATCTCGACAATTTTGAGGACTTTAAGATACAAAAGCATACTCGGAGAAGATCGATCTGCATTACTTTTTCAGCAATTTAATTTTATTTCTCACGAGGATAAGGCTGCCAGTATTATTCAATCATTTTTCAAGATGATCACTCTGAAAAAGTATCTAAAGATGCATAATCCTCAACACGAGAAGCACAATGAGATTTTGCAAAATTTACTTAAGATCGCGGAATTGTTTAATTACAACAAACAAGAATCATTGGCTAATAAAATACTGAGAAATATTTTGAAGCATCATGACAAATTATACGATATTTTCTATTGCTCTAAGGATTTTGAATACACCTTGCAATCCGTGGAGTTCAAAGGGACGTTGACTTGCACGAAGCCGAATCAATGGCTACCTATTATAAGAATCGTATTAAATCCTCAAGACGGTGAGATAGTTTTCGCGAATATAAATCTATTCATTAATCTACCAAGATACGATGTGCGCGTGTTTGACAACGAGGTAGACAAAGAGGTATTAAAAATAGTGAACAACGTGGTGCCAACTCGTTACGAGCACACGAAACTAGGTTACACTCTTTTCTGTTACGGATGGACCGACAGCGAACCGAATCAGATGAAAGAGTTACCCTGGACTCTAAATATAATCACCATGAAAGGGCAGCCCGAGTTTCAATTTTTGGTCAATGAAATGATCTTTACCTCGATCACACCCCCCACCTTGGTCATAGAAGAACTATACAACACTTATATCCCCAATTGGAGAAATTTCATCTCAAAATGGACTATTCGAGTGATGCAATCTAGTATAGTGTCGTTCAGATTACAAGTATCGTACCAGAATGCGAAAATAAGGCTGAAAGTAAAAGATGAGGATGGGAATGTGATAAGGAGAAATAGGGGTTTTGCAGTAGTCATATTACCAGTCGTGTATTTGCAGTTTAAGAAACAATTAGAATTCGATGAAAATAAGATCCGTGAGGAGGAAATCGATAGCAAAAAGAATGATAATAAACATAATCTGGTACCTTACACGACTTATCGCTTGGAGGGATCGGTTCTCGGTAAAACCTGGCCACTTACGAGAGCAGAATGGAGTATCGTATCGGAATTTAAAGTGAAACCGAGTGGCTCTCTGGTTAGAACGAAATTACCATTTAATAATTTGATAAAAAAGAATGAGACATCGAAAAATCCAAAGAAAAATATAAAGCAAACCGCCGAAAATGTTCAAACTCTCGAATCTCCTTATTGGATTCTTCAAATGATCACGGATTCTGGAAGTAAAGTGGAGGTATACACCGATAATTTTCCTTTTTCTTTTTTTTTTTTTTTACATAAATAAAATTAAACAATATAAATTTTACCAATGATAGCAATTTTATGTTTGACAGATAAGCGAAGACAGGACGAAGGAGTTGGAAATAGCCGAGATGAAGGAGAACTGGGCAAAAGAAAATCCCGACAGTTTGGAACGTGGAAGAGAAATTCGTAGAGCTTTCATTAAGAAGCACGCGATCAAACAGCCGATAGAATGTTTCGAAAAGAAAGTTTCGAATCAGACTGAAAAATTGTTGATGAAAAAAAACAACAAGCAATTTATGGACGCGCAAGAGATGGCTTGTTTGGAGGAGAGGACCTTGAGTCCGCCTCCGTCGCTTCGTAGACTTCCACCCTTGGATCTGTCGGCATACGAGGTCAAAGAGGACGAAGAGATGTTGAAGACCGAATCGAAAGAAGAGATGCTGAAGGTGCTGCGCAAGTTGGACATTACATGCGCTCAACAGGATTACGAGCATTTTCTCAAAGAATTGGGGAATTTAAACAAATTGCAGAAATTGGAGCACGATATACTGTATCGAATCAAATACAAAGAAGCATTTCTCGAAAGGAAAGCTCTAATGGAAAATTTATACGAGGTTCGAAAAAATTACATCGTTATGAAATCTCTGGCACCGAGCATTAAGTCTACTAAAAAAAGTCCTATGAGCTCTAAAAAAAGCAAGAAAAATAAAAAAACTTAGACTAATTATTTAATGTTTAGAATAGAATAAGAAAATAGCAATAAGAAAATTAATTCGATTATATATCGGCTAATAAAATGGCCGTTTAACAAACAGTAAATGATAATCAAACAAAAATTTCTATCTATAATGTTTGTCACTTTCTAAACTATAAATTGGATAGAAACATTTATCTATCCCTATTTAATTCAGTGGATATACGCACAAATCACACGCTTAATTCCACTATATTGCCAGTATCCCAGTAATCCCCTCTCTTTACGAATAATTTAAGAAGCCTAGTATCACCCCTCGGTTAATCTATTATTATAACTGGATACATGCTTGTCAGAGATAGTGTATAACTCTACCTTAAACCAATTAAAAAAGAAAAAAAAAAAAAAGAAAAAAACCGGAGAAATATCCACCATGCATTACCATCTACATATTCACGACTCCAATTCGCAAAAAAGTGTCTCTAATTACCGCTTGAACCTTGTCCTTACTAATCGCTCGAACCGCGGGCAACATGCATAATCCGGTGCAACGACATTCCTCGCTCGGATTCCACAAGTCCTCGCCAAGTCCTCCTCTCGATCAAAATATACGATCCATTATCACGTTCTAAAAGATAGCGATCGACGATTCAGGATCCACTTAAATGGGCACGATTTTTCATCGCCAATTATCTGGAACATATATTCCCAAATATGTTAAATTTAAACTATTACTACCATTATGAAAATAATTAGAATAGATTTACCCCTTATGTTCTTACTCGAATAAAGATCAATATTAATTGTTTCGAAAACATGTGTGCATTTTTAATAATTATATATATAAAAAAAAATATCTAGTAAACTTCGTCGAAAAGAAAATTTTGTTCGATTTCTTCGTTATAGAAATTTCTTCTTCGTCGTCGAATACTTTCCTCGACAAATCTTGATTAAAAGGATATTTTTGTCAAGGAAATTCAAAAATTATTCGGTATTGTTCAAAAGGAAAAGAAAAAAAAAATATAAATTTGCATAAATCGACGCGACAGAAAACTTTGAACGAAACTTTGTATAGATCTGACAAGTGTATCAAGCCCACCGGTACAAAAAAATCGTCGGTCCAGACTCGGTCAGGGACACGACGAGTTCATCGATACACAAATCGCGGTTATCGCGAGGAACTCAAACAGAAGTCGATGTTTGCATACTGGTAGGCTGCGGTGCATCATCGAGGAGGAGAGGACCGTCGGCGGGGCACCTTTTAATGACGCGGTTCCCCGCTCGGCTGTGGAAAAGAAAAGTACGCTGATCCGTTCCGACCATTTTTCATCCGGGACCAGTCCCCGTCGTCTAGCAAGATTATTACAAAACTGCTTGGGGAAGAGGTCTAGGTTAAGCGCAAGAACAGGTACGGCGCAGCCGAGAAGCGTATAGAGTTGTGTTGGGATTTTATCCAACGTGTGGTTAATGTGCGCTTCCTTCTTCTTCCTTTTTCTTTCATTCTTTTTTCCTTTTCTTTTTTCCATCACAGTGAGTCGGTTTTGCACGATCGGTCTGGTTTTACCGGAGAAATTGATTGAGAGACGTGGATATACGCGACGAAGAAAGGCGAGTTGAAGGTGTTTCGCTTTGCTCGGTTGTATGTGGAGCAAGTTTTTGTTGGTGATGAGGTAGAAAAAGGTGGTGGATGATGAATCTTGTGTACGTATATATACACTTTGGTTACGACTTTTTATCAAGTTCATCGGTTTCATGCTCGCGTACGTCCAACGGAGATAAAAAATTTTTCGCGTTTTGTGGAAATTATTACACGTTTAACGAGATAAGCATTGAAATCCATTAAGTAATTTTTATTTCATCGCGATGAAATAAAGACGTTAATAGGAAAATGTATCGATAACGTTGTAATCTCTACGATTAAATTAAACAAATTATTATTATTATTATTATTATTATTATACGCGAAATCTAAGAGATTCTAATTCAAACTAAATCATCGAAGAGATATATTTAACAATTCGTTAAACTGGTCTCACTTGAGTTAAATTTCTATTAATACGTTTTTATAAAACACGCTATACGTTGATGAAACATGCACAAGTCGATTGCAGGTGCATCCACGTTGCAGATTATTCACTGCAGAGCGTTGGCAATCGTGTCGATCAGTGTCGATCATTTTTGTTGCCCGATCTCGAATGGTCCATCGAAGAGAATTAACAATCGGGTGACACGTTGGTTTTCACGAATTACGTCGATTCATTTCAATGAATTCACGTTATAACTCGTGCTATAACAAGAAAGCGTTGAATAAGATTGAGATCTTTAATAAAATTTATTTAATCGAAACATCAATGATTAAATTAAGATTCAAAGAATCGTAGAATTTATCTTTTCAATTGAATGTATGAACGTGTGTGTGTGTGCGCGCGCGCGCGGGCGTGAAGGAATAAAGTGAAGATTGAGTCGAGGAACACGTCATCGTGACTTTTAGTTTAAGATCTTCTTGTCATTCGCGAGCTTCGAGAGTTCCTCGCGTGTCTAAGAATTTCTACACGCGACCAAACCCCGCTCGAAAATAATATCCAAATAAAATATAAAAAAAAAAAAAAAAAAAGAAAAGAAAGCAAATAAATATTTCTCTCGAACTTAAAAATTCGAAAAAGAAGAAAGGGAAAGTAATAATAATAATAACTGGACTTTCTTTTTCTTCTCATTCTATTCTTTCTTTTAAATCCTTGTCAATGAATTCCATTTCAAACCCGCAAGGCTACTAGAACACTATCAACCATAAAACGCAGCATGGCGACGCTTGGTTTAACGCTTTCGCGGTAAATGAAGCGGCCTCACAATCACAGTAAAGCTTCCCTATGCTCGTGCGATAGCTCGTTTCTCGTTTTACGGCCGTTAAACGGGCCACTGGCGAGTAGGAAAGGGAAAAAAGGGGGGAGGGAGAAGGGGGGGGGAGGAGGAGGGGGAGGAGGAGGAGGAGGAAGGAAAAAAGAAAAAAGAAAAAGAATGGAAAAGAACGAACACGGTCGTCGTTAATCATCGTTGATCTCGGTGGAGAGTCACGACTTGCATTAGGGACGGCCGACAATTTTCATCGTCGTCGCTCAAAATCGTGGCTGTCGATCGGAAAATCGCTCTTTACGAGCGGCTGTTATCGGAAATTTCTCGCTGGTAGAAGCCGCAAAGGCACGACACGGGATTTATGCGTCCCCGTTAGCTCTCTGTGTCATCTTTCGCCTATTCTTTCCCTCCGTGAACGAGCGTTAAGCCTCGTACACGCTGATAATTTGCGAGTATAATTTATTAACGTTAACAGAACGAAATTTTAATAGATTAAAACGACGCGGAAGAATCGAAATTTGTTATTGTTATTAATTTAATTTTATTTTATTAGTGATTAATTGGTAAATTATTTATTTTTGAAATTTTCCCCCTCTCTTTCTTTCATTCTTTCTCGATGCATTTAAAACGTGCTGTATTAAAACGCTACCAATCGCAAGTTTACAAATGGGGAATGTCGTAACGAGTAAAATAAGGAAGCTATGTTTCATCTTCTTGAGGTTAACTTTTAACCTCAGTGTCAAGGCAAACATGCATCTCATTGTTATTGCCGCCACCCGCATATAATTCTAAACAGAATTACGTAATGACAATAAAAAAGAACGATACGTCTTCGAGAACGAGTATGTTTGAAATATTGGATTTCTTTTTTATATATACATACATTTATTAGAAGAAGAAAAAAAGAGATATTTATCGATAATTGCAGATGCAATGGATTTTCAAATTTTTTTGAGCTAAAAATAGACTCTGCTCCATCTTATTTGATTCTTCTTTTTTTCCGGCCTGAATATCACGAACGAATGGTCGACTGACAATGGTTGTTTTTAATCGAAGTGACCGGAAACGATGGCTTCTTAATATGCTTATTGGTTCAGAACGCAGAGGCCAATGTCGTTCGCGTTTCTCAATCGAAGCCCGAACTTGATAACGTTCATACATACTTCGTTGCGAAAGTTTTCTTTAATTAAAATACTCTTAATCTTTTAAATGTACGTATTATATTCATTAAAAACTTGTTATATCTTTAAACCAAGACTTTATCTTCGTTACGACGATTAAATTTTAAAATCTGCATCTTTCTCGTTTCTTTTTTTTTTTTTTTTTTAGAAATAAATAAATTTGGAAAACTTTTAAATTCTTCGTATTATTCTTTTGAAAGCAAGAAAAATATTAAAATCCAAAAATCATCAAGCTCTTCCCTCAAAGAAATCAAATTCAAGATACTTCATTATATATTATTTCTTCAAAAACTAAATTATATTAAAATAATTTCCTTTGACAACTTCTCTGTTTCCAAGATCCTTTCCATCCCGTCCCCCTCTCTAATCTTCTTTTCTTCTTCTCGTCGAAGAAATTCAATTTCGAAACATCACAACATCCCCAAGCAAAAAAAAAGAAAGAAAGAAAACATTTAACTTCCGCGTCTCAAAAGACGATATACCCAAAGCCAACGACCTCTTTCCAAAATCCAATTGATGGCACGACACCCATGTAACCTCGTCATCCAATCCCAAAAATAAAAGCCGTTCCATCTCCATTCAATCCCCTTTCTATGCCCAACCAAAAAAAACCTTTTTTAAATCCCCTTTTAAATCCAAAACTTTGAATATTTCTCAATTGCACGCGAATTAAAATTACTTTTTCTTTTTTTTCGACGAAGTTTAAACACTTAATTCCTCCCGTTTCCCACGCTTCGAGAAAAATGACACTCTCAAATGGAAGAATATATACAACCGTGTATTTCCAAATATGGAAAGTGGCACGTGTGAAGCGCGAAATATTTGAATATTCGAAGCGAAGACGGGTGTGTAAGTGTTTACAAAATTTTGTAAAGAAAGAAAGAAAGAAAGAAAAAAAAGAAAAAAGAAGAAAACAGAGGAAAGAAGAGGAGACGACAGGGTGGGACCGAACTCATCTCTTGTGTTCTTCTGTTGGGCCGTCAGCTGGACGCGGCCGCGAGCAGGGCGAGGAGGGAAAGGACTCGTGGAGGGAAGGAGAGACGAGAAGACGAGGGAAGAGAGCCTCTTCTCTCCGGATGAGCCTTCTCTCGCCGCGGCTCGTTCACAATCTGCTGCTCCAGTCTCGCGTCGAGTCCCGTCGCCGCATCTTTTCGGGGCTCCTTTCCTCTCGTTCGGCTTCTCTATCCGACTTCGAGTCCGCGGAAACGGCGTGCAACAATCCGCGAACAAGTGCATTCGAACATTTTTATCGTTATCGCGAGCAAATTTTTCTTTCGAGAAAGAATTTTCCTCCCGAGAAAGGTTCAACAATATCGAATATCGTGAATATCGTTCGCGAGTATTTTTATATTTTAACGAGTATTTGGATCCGAGTATTGGTTTTTGGACGAATTGGTGAATTGGCAAGGGACGGGTTAAATTGACATTTCCTTTTTTTTTTCTTTTTCCTGTCGAACAGTGAAAGGTGATTCAGAATTGGTGATTCAATATTGATTAGAGAGAGAAGGCACATGGATGAGGCTGGAATCGAAGTTTTATGGTCAATTTCGTTGGTGAAGTAATGTTGATGGTTTCGTTGACAGGTATGGGCGATAAGATAAGATTAATTAGAGAGCTCGCGATCAAGAATGTTAGAATGGCACGATTATTGGAAGTTTCTTGATCTATTTTATGACACTGTTTCGCTATTTCGTAATTGTTATCTTCAGGTTACTACAGTCGGAGAAGAGTATCTAGCATCAAACTGCTTATATCGAAAAGCTCTACGTAATGAGAAAAATTTTTCTCCATAAATAAAAGTTTTCTCGATTCGAAAAATCTTTTAATAAAAAAAATCTTCGCTAAAAATATTCGTCCCATACCGATAACGATCATCTAATTTTTAATCAAAAGATAGAGAAATCTTAGAATCTCGCGCGTTCGAATTAAGAACTCGCAACAGATCGTTCCTCGTTCGTTTCGTTAACGCAACAACCAAGAATAATGACTAATTGCTTAAATGAGAATTGATGGTGGAAATTGTCCGCGTATTCCGCATTTCTCGTGCAAATAAACGATTAATTAGACGCGTTTATCAATCCTGCTCCGTAATAGAACGTGCGAACCAGACCGATCTCTTTTTACACGAGTTTTGCACGAGCATACCAAGCCGAGTTATGGAACTTTAATGATAGCCTCTGCTCGGTCCGCTTTTACGTTATGATAACGAGTGAAAGCGGGAGTGCGTGTATCTCTATCTTGGCGAATTTCCGAGGAACGTGTTGTGTTGATTCCACTTTTCTTTTCTCCCTCCCCCCTCCGCCCTTTTTTTCTTTTGTTTTTCTTTCTTTCTTTTTTTTTTTCTTCCATGGCGAGGAAAGGGCGACTCGAGACGGATAGAACGAGATCTCGATTAAATAAATGGATGGCGGCCGCCGCGTGGAATTCTAGTTGGAAATTTTCTAGTTTGCCTTCTGGCCAACTAACGATGATAAATCGTGCTAAATCGTTAACTCGTAATTTTTCCCTACACCGTAAACTGGTTTCCTTAGATATGGAATTTTAATTCGTACGTGCATTTGAATCTTTGAACCGGTTTTCCATTCGGGAATAAAATTGGAAATATTCGAAAATGGATATTGAATCGGTGATGATTGGACAACGCGTTTGTTTCAATGATAATTATATTATATCATGGAGAGACGATACTTTTTTCGACTTACTACTTTCGTTTATACAGCCTTAATATAATAAAGAACAGACACGACGAAGGTACGAAGATTGGAAAAAGGGGAAGGATGATTTTTCCAACTCTTCGATTCGTTCATAATTTCGATTCTGCCGATCGAGTGCAGCAACGATGAATGGGCTGGAAACTTCATAGTTCCAGTCTGTTCGTTCGAACGAGGGAACAGCTATTGTGAATATTTATATCAAAAGATAGTTGCATCTATCTCATCGTACTAATTTGGTGCTTCCGGAAAGGCGTCATAGCCAGCTCTGAATCGCGACAATTATCGCTCATTGTCTCTTCCCTCGGTTTACGTGGCGTGATTTTCGCTCTTCTCGCGAAACGGGCAATCGTAAACTAAACATAATTTCCATAAACGTGACTGTTCTTTAATCTCACGCGTTACTTAACGATAAACTCTACGCGGTAATATTTTTACCATTTAAGGAACTTCCAACGAGTGCCTTCGAGTTTTTTTTTTATTTCGAAATCCACGCATACCGCGATACTTGTCGAATTATTTGCAAATAAAATAACAATTACCGACAATTTCAATGATTCGTTCGACTTGAAAAGGAAATCTTCGATTTAAAAATAAAAAAGGAAGATTTATGATCCATATATATATACTAAAAAATTTGGATGCACAATCGATTACAAAGATTCGTTCATTTTCCATAATCGTTAACCGTTCCCTTGAGAATACGGACAAATTTACAAAGAAAATTTAAAAAGATTTCGCGCGTCTACACGTGTCTACTATACCTATAATGTAACATTTGCAAATAGAATCATTGATATAATAGCAAAGATAAGGGTATCACAAATTATTTACAAGTATACCACTATTAACAAATCGAATCCCTAACAATTCCAACGGTTCTTCTTGACATTTCTTAGAAAAAAATATCACAAATTAAAAAAAAAAAGAAAGAAAAAAAAGGAGGAGGAGGAGGATTTCACGCAAGAGATCATTTTCACCCCAAAGATCCCCGACGAATCGAGTTCAGAGAATCTCTCCTCTGGAACGGAGACGCTTCTATTACAGAATCCCGTGCGCGTCAGATTACCGAGCATCCAGTCGATCGAGAACCATGATCGTGGAACCGATCGTGGTATCGATCGCGATCCGGCGTTGAAATCGTTCAGAGAGAGAGAGAGAGAAAGAGAGATCGAGACTTCGTTTATCCGCGTGTGATCGTCGATTGATCATGAGACGAGCGTACGAGTAACACGCGACGGAAACCCCGCTGCTGGACAGTTTTCTCGTTCGACGAGACGTGAATCGATGATGCCGCCCGCCAAAATGACGAACGAAATGGCGTTCATCCTTGCCATCTGGCTCCTGATCGTTGCCAGGGGAGTGACGAGCACGGGACAACGATATACTACCAGCCCGGCGCAGGATCTGGATAATACTCTGCAATCGGTCCCGCCTCTTGGGTGAGTATCCAGTTATTATCCAGGTAATTAATATTTCTTCCCCCTCCACCTCTTCATGTTGATTCAACAGGAATTGAATCCTCGATATGAAATATATACGATTGGATGTATCTCTCTTTGAATTTATCAATATGTTGTTCAATATACGTGGCTGTGTCCGATATTTCGGATTAAAAGTGTGGATCAGGAAGAATTTAATTACTTATTTATTGAACACACGTAAGAAACGTGTGTAAGTTTAGTTAAGAAAGTTGTGAAGTTTATTATTCCTTTTCAAGGGATTTTACATCTTGCGCGTTCCAAAATTGAGTTATAAAAAATATTATTGTAAATAATAATTCGCGGAACAACGTAACTATAATCCAGGGCCAGATTGCACGCAGATCATCGCTGAAACGCGAACCGGCCAATCTGCGCCCATTTTTCGAGCCGAGATATCGTTCGATCTCTCGATATCGCGGGACAGTAATTTTAGAGGGATGAAGCGAGGTGTGATTACCGCGAGGATGTTTTCTTTGAAATTTTAGGACATTCGATATTTTTACTTTCCTCTTCTTTTTCTTTTTTTTTCTTTTCCCTTCTTCTCTCTGATCGTTTGCTTCGAGGTTGTTGCTGGTACGATTTTTGCGTACAACGTACGAACAAATTTCGCGTTCGCGTTGAATGTAAAATAAAAATAATTAAAAACTGTATTTATCGAATAATTATTATCATTAAGAATAAAATTTCCCGATCGCCGATTGTTAATTTGTACAGAATTAAATTGAATGGGTATAAATTGAAAAGAAAAATAATTTATTCTTCCAATAATTCTTGGCATTTCCGAGAAAAAAATATCACGAATTAAAAAAAGAAAAAAGGAGGAGGGTTTCACGCAAGAGATCATTTTCACGTGAAAAAAATATGGAAAGTATCGAGAGGAATATGATGTCACGGATTGTTGAAGAAGTTGGAGCAGATTGGTGATCGAATTCTCTCTCCTCACGCGGTAAGTGGTAGGATGTTTGACAGGTCCTCGAGTTCCAGACGTGGGAATACCAGTGATAAAGCTGTTTTCAGCTCGTTTCTATTTTTACTTGCCGGTAGGGAGGGGAGGGGGAGGAGAGGAGGGAGGGGGACAGGAACGCGTAATGAAATCGTTCCAGCAAGGAACTTTCTGCTCTAGTTTCTTTTTTCATTCGAATTACGTAATGTCGCGCCTCTTAGTTCGAACGTAATGTTTATCACGTTCTCCCATGTCTCATTCTATTCACTCGGAACATTCGTACCCGTTGAAAAACATTCCAGATAGATTTCGCTATATAAAATGTTTAATTCTTCATTCTTCTCTAAAGTAAATTATTCCATGAATTATTCATAGATTCGTTTAAATTAATTTCTATTCTATTCTGGATATTTAAATTTACTTTGCAAATTTGCGGGAATGATAATGCGAGATAGTTCAGTAACGATTCTTTTCTTTTTTTTTTTTTTTTTTTAAAAATTGAAAATATCACCCCGAGATCAAGGAAAGTGCAAAGATCACGTTCGATTCTTCAAAGAGGCGAATCGAAACTTAGAAAATGTACGTATAACGTGATAAAGGTCGCACTGCGGCTCGTTATCAATCGATGCAACGGTCAATCTTGATGCAATCCCGAAATAAAACGTGGCAAGCGTGCATGTAATTGCGCAATTATGAACGCTCGAAATATGGTTGTTGACCTCGTTGACTAATTGCTTCGAACAAAAAAAAAAAAAAGAATGATTGAAATTAATCACTTCGAATTTTCTATCTAGATAAAAAAAAAAAAAAACAATTCTATGAAGTTTAATCGAAAGAAGTTTCTTGAGTTTCTTTTCAAAAGGTAACAAATATATTCAAAAATTAGATAAAAAATTTACATATAGAAATCGAGAATTGGGAAATTTAATCGTAAAGGGAAAAGAAATACGCACAATATAAGAGTAGAAAAATAAGAAAAGAAAAAAAGATTCTAATTTAAGGCCCCTACGTTCCGTTTAGAACTTTACACTTCTCAAACTTAATTATACACGAAAAGAAAAAAGAAGGAAAGAAAAAATTGTCACCTCCAATTTATTTAACAAATGTGTACGATCCCCAAGCGCAAAGCGGATTAAAGTGGATCTACCAGTCTATAAGAGCGATAAAAAATATAGTCTCAGACATAAACGACCAAGGCCTAAAATTTATTATTCGACTCCAGAGTTCCAGACTTAATTCGAAGCCTCTTTTTCACTTCGAGACGATTCCACGCGTCTGGATCGTAAAATATATCCGAGCAACGACATCCGAGTAAAAATCCGATTCTGTAAAAGATGGAAAAAAAAAAAAAAACATTCTTCCCTTCCGAATTACTCAGTTCCTTCCGAACGAATTGAATTTCGCCAATTGTTGAAAAATTGACGTCGTCCCAACTTGAGATTCCAACTTGTTAAATCATTTGGTGACGTGAGACGCGTTCCCAGGCGGATCCGTGAAAAGTGTTTCCGCCTTGAGAAACTCCACGGTCAATTGGCCCTAATGGATGGATAATAATGGTCCATCATCTATTTGGATTCGGTTGGAATTGCCGCGGAACGCGAGAAATCGCTCGAGCGCACGAAACCTTGCCTACGATGGTGCGAAGAAGAGGGTTGGGGGAAAAAGGAGATGAAAAATGGGGATTGAACCGCGAATGCGTAACGTAACGCGTAGATAACCTAATTAGAGGAGTTATCGCCGGCGTTTCGTCGCGACGCTGCGCTCCTTTGGATCTGACAAAATCTGCGATTTCGCAAAATTTGTCGATATAACCAGTGAATCGTCCCGATTACTTTTCTCCTTGTTTTTTCTCCTTTTTATTTATCATTATTATTATTATTATTATTATTATTATTATTATTTAATTTGTACAGTATTGCCAAGCATTGTGCCGAATCGAATCAACGTTCCTCGAATCCCTTCGAACTTCATAAAATTACGATATCCATCAGGAAAAAAGAAATTCCTGAAATTTTTATCTACTTTATCTACAATATTTAAAATAAAATTGAATCGATCCGAGAAATTAATTCGTAAGATTTATATTGCGCGAGTGAAACCGTAATTGATCAACGTACGAATGATTGAACGCGTGGAATAATTTTATCGACAAAATTCTTTCTCGATCTTCCAAAGGAGCAACACCGCGTCAACCGCGATGATTCTGAACGCGTTATTGAAAAATGGAACGTCTTCCTGATTCCTCGATACACGATCCCGCCTTAGAAGAAACGGGAGGCACGAAAAAAGGAAGGTATCGATCGTTGATCGGAATACTGGCGCGAATAGAGAGACAGAGAGAGAGAGAGAGAGAGAGAGAGAGGAGAGT